CTCCCTTCCACCCCGGCTACATTACCCGAGAGCGAATTGCCAAGGCCAAGAACCTCAAGATCTGTGTGACTGCCGGAGTTGGCTCTGACCACGTTGATCTTGATGCAGCCAACGAGCGAAACATTGCCGTTCTCGAGGTTACTGGATCCAACGTTCAGTCTGTTGCCGAGCACGTTGTCATGACCATGCTTGTGCTGGTCCGAAACTTTGTCCCTGCCCACGAGCAGGTCATGGCTGGTGGCTGGGATGTTGCCGCCGTCGCCAAGGACTCTTACGATATCGAGGGCAAGGTCATTGGTACCGTTGGAGGTGGCCGAATCGGCCAGCGAGTCCTGAAGCGAGTTGCCCCCTTCAACCCCAAGGAGATGCTCTACTACGACTACCAGGGTCTTTCTGCCGAGACCGAGAAGGAGCTCAACTGCCGACGAGTCGAGAAGCTCGAGGACATGCTGGCCCAGTGCGACATTGTGACTATCAACTGTCCCCTTCATGAGTCCACCAAGGGTCTCTTCAACAAGGAGATGCTTTCTCACATGAAGAAGGGTGCCTGGCTCGTTAACACCGCTCGAGGAGCTATCTGTGTCAAGGAGGATGTTGCTGAGGCTCTTGCCAACGGTCAGCTCCGAGGCTACGGTGGTGATGTCTGGTTCCCTCAGCCTGCTCCTGCCGACCACCCCTGGAGATCCATGCGAAACAAGTACGGAGCAGGAAACGCCATGACTCCCCATATTTCTGGTACCTCCATTGATGCCCAGGCCCGATACGCTGAGGGAACCAAGAACATTCTTGAGGTTTTCTTCTCCGGAAAGCAGGATTACCGACCCCAGGATATCATTTGTATCAACGGTCACTACGGTACCAAGGCTTACGGCGATGACAAGGAGCATGCCAAGAAATAGATGTCTCTCAGTTAGATTAGCTAATCTATACAATATTCCAAAAATGATACAGTAATTTGTAGCTGCCTTGTAGTAGTACGGGTCAACATAGAGATAAAACTGTGTGATCTTGGGGGAACATTAGGGAACACTCAAGTCACAGGGCGTTTGCAGTATGATAGGATAACTGCACCATCCCCTATAGCAGATCAAAGAGATTCACAAACCTGTAAAACAGAGCAATCTCGTTCACGATAACACCTCGTTTTATATGAAAAATACAAATAATCTGTCATGGGGCAAAAATAAACAGTTTCGTTATGAACTGCGATCTGGCAAAAAAGAGGACGACAGGACTCGAACCCGCAGCCTTTGGAGGACGTCGTTCAGAAGAACCGAAATCCAATGCGCTACCATTACGCCACGTCCTCGGGAATTTTGATTTTTTAAAAATATGGACCCCACACTGTGACATCTGCTTACATAATTTTTTGAGAATCAAAAAAGAGGAAGGGCTGTATTGTTGAGTGGTGTTGGGGAATCAAAAAAGGTTGGCACTGATATATATCTCTCTTTCACCCTACAAAAGTACCAGAACCATAGGTGGTGGAAATTGAGAACAATAGACAAGTACCTTCAGTTGTACAGTGGTTTGTGAACAAGAAACAATAACAAAGTAGGCACTATACACGTGTGGCAATGACAGTTTTGCAAGTGTCCCAATCGGTTGGGGCCATTTGGAAAATTATGAAATAATGTGACCTGCCCTTTTTCGTACTTCAACTCATGCATGCAGCAACAGTTTAAATCATGTCCACCGTTGTAGCATTTCTTACCATATGTGAGAAGACCCTATAGAGTACCGTAATGGAAAAAGACTATGTAAGAGGGAGCGAGAAACCAAGGAGTGACCATATTTGAGTGCGCTTCAGACACGCCTTACCGCCACTGTGTCCATCTGACAGCTCCCCGCGGCACTCCTCCCTGCGCAAACTGCCAGCCGGACTACCCTTACCCAACTCTTTACTGATTAGGTTCGCACAGCAGGTAAAAAATCTTGTGATAACGTTACGTGATTAGAGACGACACGACGAGACGCAAAAAGGACCTCCAAGGAGCAGACGGAAACGGTTAACGAACATCAATCCAGTTGCTAGAAAACCCTCGCGTCTACTGAATCATATTCAAAATGAAAGATCAGCGAGTCCAGGTGCCTGCCTCGCCCTCGCAGTCGCAAGCAAACGCGTTTTCAGCTCTCTTTGCGCCTTCTGACAAGAACTCCCTCTCCAGCTTCGCTTACAACCCCTCGAAACCTGCCGCCAATGGCCAGAATCCTTCGGCTCCCCCTGCAGCCTTCACAGAAGAGCAGAAGCAGCGCCTCCAAAGACTCAAGCCCATGTTCAACCAGCTGCCTTTGGTAAAGTTGCGAGAAGCAGTTGCCAACAGCACCGATTTTGACCGAGCCGTGGCCTACCTTCGACGACAAGGTAGCATTCCTTCCTCTACCTCTGCTGCCCCTCGAAAACCTGCATCTTTGGTGAACCCGCTGGCATTCCTCAATCCTTCGGTCACCACTAAGCCTGCTCCTCTATCGACCAAGCGAGAGGTTTCCAAGTCCAAGAGTATCCGAGAGAAGTGGAAGAAGGAGGAACCCAAGGTCGAACCTCCCCAGGATGATCTCGTTGTCATGGAAGACAAGCCCAGTGCACCCAAGAGAAGACTGGTGCAGGCTAAGGATCGAGCTGGATACACTCCCCAACCAACGAGATCCCCCACTCCCTCGTCTCCCGTTCCTGTGTCTCGAGACACTCCCATAGATATTGATGAGGCAGAGGCCGACGAGTCTGAAGACTTCTCGGAGAAAGAAGACGTTGACCCAGGCTTCGATCTCAGAGTTCTGGAGTTCCTCAACACCTCTTCTCAGCGAGACCTCATCGACCTGTCATCGTGCTCCCAGAAGGTTGGCGAGCTCATGGTCAAGAACAGACCCTACAGGAACTTGTTGCAGGCCCAGAACGTGGAGTTTTCCGACTCCGAATCCACCTCCACTGAGAAGAAGCGAGGACGAGGAGGTCGAAAACGAAACGCCGGAGAGCGTATCGTCGACGCCGTGTCTGCCACTCTTCGAGGCTACGAGGCTGTGGACTCCTTGATTCAAAAGTGTGAAGTCCTAGGTACCCAAGTGGCTGCCGATATCAAGTCTTGGGGAGTGGATATTTTTGGAGTCAAGGACGGAGATGGAGAGGGTGTTGGTATTACCGACATCGACGAGGACGTTGTCAAAAAGTCGTCTGTCAAGTTCCTAACTGAAAAGCCCTCTATTCTTAGTGACGATCTTGTTCTGAAGGACTACCAGCAGGTAGGAATTAACTGGCTGTATCTACTTTACAAGAAGCGACTCTCTTGCATTCTTGCCGACGAGATGGGTCTAGGAAAGACTTGTCAGGTAATCTCTTTCATGGCTCTGCTGAAGGAGCAGGGGGAACATGAGGGTCCCCATCTTGTCGTGGTGCCTTCTTCTACCCTTGAAAATTGGCTACGAGAGTTTCAGAAATTCGCCCCATCTCTGGTTGTTGAGCCTTACTACGGTTCTCAGAACGAACGTGCTGAAATGCGAGAGGCTCTGTCCGACCCCGAAAACAAATACGATGTCATTGTGACCACTTACAACCTGGCCTGTGGCACGAAGTTTGATGTGTCTTTCCTCAAGTCCATCAGATTTAACTGCTGCGTCTATGACGAGGGTCATATGCTTAAGAATTCTCAAACTGACAGATACAACAAGCTGATGCGGCTCAAGGCCAACTTCCGACTTCTGTTGACCGGTACTCCTCTGCAGAACAACCTTCGGGAGCTTGTGTCTCTTCTTGCATTTATCATTCCGTCACTTTTTGACGGCTGTAAGGACGATTTGGCTGAAATTTTCAAGCACAAGGCTACCACCAATGATGCTTCTTCACACATGCCTCTCTTGTCACAGCAGCGAGTAAACCGTGCTAAGACGATGATGACTCCTTTCATCTTGCGACGAAAGAAGGAACAGGTGTTGAAGCATCTCCCTCCCAAGACTCACGAAGTTGCATACTGCCATCTCTCCCCTGATCAGCAGGCGATTTATGATGAGCAGATGGAACGAATGAGGCAGATGCGACGAGATCGAGCTGAGGGCAAGCCCACTTCCAGAGTAGGAAACCCTCTCATGCTTCTGCGAAAGGCGGCTCTTCACCATCTGCTGTTCCGAAGAAAGTTTGACGATGCTACCCTCAAGAATATGTCCAAGGAGATCATGAAGGAGGAACGATACTATGATGCCAACAGAGAGTACATTCGAGAGGATATGGAGGTCATGAGTGACTTCGAGCTCAACCGGTTGGCTCTGCAGTTCCCCAGCATCGAGAAGTATGCTCTGGAGGAGGAGCCATGGATGGACGCAGCCAAAGTCAAGAAACTGGCTGAAATGTTACCTACTATGAAGGAGAACAACGACAGAGTGCTCATTTTCTCGCAGTTTACACAATGTTTGGACATCCTGGAGTCTGTCCTCAATACTTTGGGAATTGCATTTCTGCGGCTGGACGGTCAAACTCCCGTGGAGGCACGACAGGACATGATCGACAAGTACTACGAGGAGACGGATATCACCGTCTTCCTGCTGTCCACTAAGGCTGGAGGTTTCGGTATTAACTTGGCATGCGCCAACACCGTCATCATCTTCGATCTTTCATTCAACCCTCATGATGATAAGCAGGCTGAGGATCGAGCTCACCGAGTGGGCCAGACCAGAGACGTTCGTGTGATTCGATTGGTCTGTAAGGGTACTGTGGAGGAGAAGATTCTTGAACTCAACAACACCAAGCTGGCTCTGGACAAGAGTGTTTCTGGTGAGGGTGGTGAAGAGGAGGCCAAAAAGAATGAGTCCAAGATCGAGGAGATGCTCATGGCGGATGAGGAGTAGTCACAGGACTGACGATAGACGCATAAGATTAGGTACAAGTAGAAACATTAATAGATTACTTACATGCTAAAAGATTTATGAGTTCGAGTAGATCGTACAACATACTCGAACATCTGCCATAATGCGCACTATGAATAACCAAAAAAAAGAACTGCTAAAGCAGTGACTGATCATGCCGAGGATCGAACTCGGAGCCTCCCCGGTGTGAGCGGGACGTGATAACCATTACACCACACGACCTCACGTGACTTTTCCGGAATCAGGAGCATTTTCCACAGCAGACAGATGACTAAGCGCCCGATTACGATTTGCAAGATTCATTGGATGCCAATAGCCTGGCTTGCCAGGTATATAGTTGTAATGTATCTTCAGAATAAAAAAAAAAACCCGCGAAATTTCCCCACTGAATGCCGAGTTTTATGAGTGGTAATGTAAGAGGAAAAGTGATAGCAACATTTAAAAAGGTTTTAAACAAAGCGGGGACTAATAATTCCCCCAAAAAATAAAAAGAGTACTCGATTGAGTAACTCCCCCACAGGGGCTCGAACCCTGGACATTTCGGTTGCTGTGCCTTTAGGGTTACTAAAAGCCGAACGCTCTACCAACTGAGCTATAGGGGATTTTTCAAATTCGGGAATTTTGGGCTAGTAACTCTGAAAAAAGTGCCAAATTTTTTTTTCCCGTTTTTTTATATTCCCTTGTGTTAAGGAACGTGGAAAACCTGAAGATAACACTCTAATAGGCTTATAACACATTCCTGTTAGTCCATAGTGTCTAACTTACTCTCAGTAGAGCATATCAGGGAACGTTACTTGTTTTTTCTTGTACAATGACATGCGCAGCATTGCCATTTGAACTGTTTGCACGAGTATAACTTACATAACGGTACAGTACTTGTGAATGAAAAGTGAGCTGTTATAACAGCCTCGCAATAACAATTATATTTGTAAAATAAAGGTTTGCACACAACGTGCGTGCCGTTATAAAACACCATAGCTAATCAGCAGATAAGAGCAAATTGCTCAGAGTGTGTCCATTGACATCAAACAGTATTTAATGGCATCTTGGCTCGAGACAATTATGGTCAACATCCCATGTTAATGCATATATTTCCGAAAGAGCTGGATGGAATTGCATGAACGAATCGTGGGTGGTGTCACTGTCAAAACTTTAGGGGAGGTGGAAGGGGAGACTTTTATGGTATCGACAGAGTCGCATCGCTTCAAAAAATCTTCTAGTTAGCTTTTCCTTAAGGTATGAGTATTTTTGAAGCAGATAAGAGGAGTTCTGTGTGCGCGCGACTTCGAGGTGTGGTTGTTTAAACCTGTGAAGCGTTACTGGGAAGAATTAACTGGTACTGTTTTAATCTCTATCGCAAGGGGATAATTATGGTCAAGTCACGATAGTATTGCTGATGTTTTTGGAGGAGTCAGGGGCAGTTGTGTGACAAAGTAGATTTGATGTCGAAGTATTGAAGTGTGTAAGAGAGGGTTGAATGTATTTAAATGGTACTGTACCTTGAGGGGTTGTAGAGAAGACAGATAGGATTCCAGCAAACATTGTTTCAAGTCGGCTTGGCGATGCTGTTGATTCGGAAGGAGTTATACCTGATTGTAGGGACAGGTATTGCTACAAGGATCACTGTCAAAAGTGGGGAACATGTAATAGGGAGGACATGAAGGGTAATCACAACACAAGTACGAGTACAGTAGTGAGATTTTCATGAGGTTAAGATTAGTTTTTGGGGGGAGTTGTGGGGAGTTATACGAATCGGTAGAATTGAAGGTAGCGATGTTAAAGGTCGATGGCTAGGAAATAATAAGAGAAGCATATAGGGGAACGCCCAAATCCCTAGAGTTAGACTAGTAGGCGGACAAACTCGACACAAGTACACGGCATTTTTAAAATGGTTAGGGCTATTCTGAGGACAGGCTGTGTAATCTACGTGATTTGATTTTAAGTCGTGCACAAGAAAGAGGGAGAGACACGGGAGACATAGATGGAGTCATCTCTCTGGAATGCCACATAGGTTGAGTCGGCATACATAAATGAATAATCTTGAGTGAGATGAGGGCAGTTCTGAGTTTGGATGGTATTTGGGGTGCCGCTTTCAAAGGAAGCGAGGAGATAGTGATAGAGAGATTTACGACACCAAAGGAATATGCAGGCAGAGGTTTTAGAAAATTGAAAGTCATTATTGGTATAGGGGTGTTCCTGAAGAAGTTGGGGGCAAGTGTACGATAAGGTAGGATCGGGATTGCGTTTGTAAAAAGCACGTCAGAGAGGGTAGGATATATTTGAATGGTTAGGTCACAATCTTCCTCTTCTGAGGAATTCGCTGGTCAAGTCGCCATGACAATGAGAGTATTTCTGAAGGAGATGGAGGGACCTGTTCTAACGAGAAGAAACAAGGGGCAAGGTGTCAAAAGTCGGAAGACATATATGCTGAGAATCAACGTCAGCAGATAGTGTTGATTGACGCGTGGGATCGTAAATATTAAGTCGCCATACCGATAGAAACATTCTTAGCCAAGTTTTGTGTAGTCGTACAGTTGGTGAATTAGGGATGGTCAGGTAAACTATTACTAAAACGAGACAAGGGAGATACGAAAAATACAGGGCCGTACCATTGGAATCCATGGCTCCTGGTGAACACTACGATCAACTGATGATGACGATCTGGATAGATCGGAATAAGTTTGATACAGTTATATGAACACATTAAGACTTTGCAGGCTGTCAATAATTCGTCAACAAAGCCTAGAACAATGTTTCCTGCACGTCGGATTCGGATTCGGATTTGCAGAAAGCTGTAAAGACGTAACAAGTTTTTTTTTTGATGCTTTTCCTCTTGTCCTCGTCGTTTTTTTTTTATTCTGAAGATGCTTACTAAGCCGATATAGGTTAGTACAGTCCAGAATTTTGCGAAATTTCGACTTTTCTCCCGGTGGCCAAGCTGGTTTAAGGCGCGAGACTGTAATGGTACAATTGTAATCTTGAGATCGGGCGTTCGACTCGCCCCCGGGAGATAATCTCTTTTTTGCTCTCCTTTTGAATCATCAGATCAAAAATTGAAAAATGTTTTAGTTCAAGATAGTCTCTGACCGTAACAAAAAATGAGCTGTAGGGGAATTGAACCCCTGGCACCTGCTAACAGCTGGATGGAAGGCAGATATGTTACCACTACACCAACAGCCCAATTTTTTCGCTGTTTTTGACCCTGTTCAGACGCTAGTCATAAGGTGTTCTGATTAGTCAGCAAGACTAAAAAAAAAAAGACAAAGAGCAAGTGGATAAGCACTACAAGGAGTTCATCAAGAAGCTGGAGACACTTCTACGTGGCTACGCTTTGTTCGGACTCAAGCACCACAGTAAAGCATGGATGTTAAACATGTTTTTCCTCTCCAAGTTGGTTTTCTACATACCCTACGTGGAAAGCTTTACGGATGCTGTGGTGGAAAAATTCAGGACGATGTGTTGCGACAAGATCAATGGCAGACTAGCTGGCGAGAACAAGAACAACAGGCGCACTTTCAATGACGAGCTCATCTATCAGCCTCTCAGGGCAGCAGGTATCGGTCTTCTCAACATTGTGGAGCAGGCAAGGAGCCTACGTGCCACGAGAGCGTGGAGGTTCTTCTATGGCGACTCCCCAGCTCGACAGAACGCTTTGTTTCTGTTTGCGAGCGAACCGGTGGAAAAGGATCTCCACCCCGCCACGAGAATGAACAAACTCATTTGGTTTGGAGGTGACAACTGGCACTGGCACCACTTCCTGTCGAAATCCATGAATGGCTGTCTTCGAGAGCTTATTGCGTTGTCTCGCGTTGCTGGGCTGAAGGAGCCGCCCTTTGTTATGGTAGGCCATGACAAATGGAAAGCACTGCGAGAGACAGTTGGAATGTTCGATTGCCAACGCCGAGCGAATCCAGTCGCGATCATGAGTCAGCACCAGGAGGCGTACCTCATGTCCCAGCTCGATGTCGAGGAGGCAGAGGCACAGAACAGCTGGCGTGATAAGTTCACAGTCATGAAAAATGACCACTGACGGGAGATCCTGCCCCCAGAGATCGATAAGGATGATAAAAAGTGGCTCAAAGCAAACGATTTCTTGGGCAAGCACTACCGACGAGACGCCAAGAGCGCAGCTACGCTGCATATGCTTCGACTCAGCCGTCTCCCTTTCACTCGGTGGTACCCCAAGACCGACCACTACGCCTACAAAGACATTGGATGTAGCTCTTGCCGTCTCTACAAAGAGAAAAGCTACCTCCATGAACATCTCTTCGTCAACTGTCCTGTCTCCCATGCGATCTGCAACATGATTGAAGTCCCCCTTCCAGCTAGAATGGCGGACTGGATCTTATTGGAGGACAAGGAAGGCCCTCTCAACTACATTCGAGAGCTAGCACATGCTTTATGGCAGTTCGAGCGCACCATGCGCCGCACTGGCCTCGTGGGTACTGACCCAGAGGTTCAACGAAACCACGCCCACTTATTCACCCGAGTCACTTCTGCCTACCGATATGACCTTTGGGCCAAGGAGGTAAGGGAGCGAGCTGCTGCATAAGAGCAAAGTCTGGAGGAATTTTGATTGAGAACTTGGAGGAATTTTGGAGGAATTGGCTGGTACGCCAGGAGTACCCGTGAGCCGTGCTTACGTTAAACACAACCGAGAGAGAACCCGATGGAGGAATATGATGATATTATGATTGATTAAAAAAAAAAAAAAAAAAAAAATGGAAGGATTTCAGGCACTAAGTGCACTGTTACCAAAGATTGCCCAATAAAGCACACAATATGATAAATTAAAAAAAAAAAAAAAAAAAAAAAAGTCAAACGACACCCTGCGGATGAGTCCCCCGACTTGAATTCGTTTCCCATCATTTGCTATTTCTGCTTTTGATGTTTTTCTCTTTTACTATTTATTTTCCCTTTTACTATTTATTTTTGCTTGTTTTTTCTTTTTATGTTTTACCTATGTTTTGGGATTGATTGGATTTCCTAGTCATGATCATACAAACCGAGACCGAGATTGGAGCGCGAGATCGAGTATCAAGAATTGGCGACCCTTGTTATGACGAAGCGAGCACCGAGACCGATTACGATTTGCAAGATTCATTGGATGCCAATAGCCTGGCTAGCCAGGTATATAGTTGTAATGTATCTTCAGAATAAAAAAAAAAAAAAAAAGAATAAAAAAAAAAAAAACCCTTGTTATGACGAAGCGAGAACCGAGACCGATTACGATTTGCAAGATTCATTGGATGCCAATAGCCTGGCTAGCCAGGTATATAGTTGTAATGTATCTTCAGAATAAAAAAAAAAAAAAAAAAAAAGTTGTAATGTATCTTCAAGTTGTAATGTATCTTCAGAATAAAGAAAAAAATAAAAAAAAAATGTATTTCCCTAGAATCAAAAAAAAAAACAAAAACGATTTGCAAGATTCATTGGATGCCAATTATCTGGCTTGCCAGGTATATAGTTGTAATGTGTCTTCAGAATAAAAAAAAAAAACTGTCGTAAGATGAAGTAAAGATATATTAGAGATACATGGAATAAAGGGATTTATATAATGTCCAGGGTTGCTGAGCAACCCTTACCAGTGACCTTAAGAAGGCGATGATCGGCTCTATAAGCTGATAATGTGGGCTCACTTCGAAGTCTCAACGGGGCTTCGACGGCAATTAGGGATTACCTAATCAACCTTGATTTTGTAATGATATTGACCAAGTGTTTGTACTCCAGCCTAACCCATACCCTATACCTACTGGAGTGATTGTACTCCAGCCTGACACATACCCTATTCCTTCTGGACACACAGTGATTTTACCCCAGTCTATTTCAAACTCATACCCTTACGCAGCTGAATGTGCTATCCATGCACTACACCTATACCCATACCCCTATCCTGCAGTTATTTTGCATTGTTTACTTTCCCCTCTCCCTCTCACTTATCTTTCTAAAAAGCTCTTATTTACTGTAAGCCTTCCGGCCATTCCATGGCCCCTTTGGGCCCACTCCATCCTTTGTCTTTACTTGCAAGAATAACGTTCCTCTAAACTATGAGATACCTTAGAACCGGTAGGGTAATATTTTGGTACAGTAGTGATTCTAGTGGTTGACAGATGTCTGTCCTGTAGATAGGAGCTATCTACTGGCCTGGAATCTCTTCCTGATGAATGGGCAAGTGTCCACCTTCCGGGTGGCACTATTATCGGCACGATGTGTCCAGTGAAGTGGGTTGTAAGTCGTTACATTAACTATAATCAATAATCATACATATGGTTTTCAACATATACGGATACGAGCAAATACCCTTTTATCGCCCAACCCTATATAGTCTCCCAATCATCAACTCCTTCCATTAATACTCTTTACCCTCCTCTTCCTATTTCTCTTTCCTTATACCCTTCCACAACCATGTCCCGTCCCCGTCAACCACACCAAGAAAAACGCCAACACAAATATTCAACGACAACACCTACTCCGACACCAACCTCACTACCTTCAGAAATGATGTGATCTCCTTGAAACAATGGTTTGAGACGCATACTATTTTCCAACCCCATACTTCTTCCACCTCCCCTCGGAAGGCCCTCATTCAGATTTCACTCCATACAATCAACAATGCTCGAGTCAGATCCACTACCATTAAGAATGATTTGTATCTCATCCAGAGTATCTTCAACAAACGAAAGCTCGAAACGAAGACAGGTGACTTCACCACCGGTCTATCTGTCGAATCCGCCCCTCAGAAGTCCTCCCAATACCACTGCCTTCAAGTCTCCTGCAACGTCTCTACAATCGAATGGACTCCTACTAATCTTCCCAAAGACCCACCCCGATGGAATTTCCGGAGCGAGTTGGAGCTCACTGACGAAGACGAAGCGCTAATGGAAAAAACACTCAGAGAGGTGAACCAGATCATCAACGCTTTCGCTCAGCTACACAACTATAATGCTTTCAGACGAAAAACCTCCAAGTCTGACCCCTCAATCATCTATGGGGCAGTTTGTCCTTATATCATTCTTCAACTCCTTCAACGTGCCTCTACTCTTCAAGCGCTTCGAGGAACGCCTTAAAAAACAACACCCGTCGGCCCGTCTGAACTGGTCTGATTTCAGGATGGAAACTAGAAAAGCTCAAAATGGTCCAGAACGTCAATACGCCATCTTCGCCAAAGTTCTTTACGACCCCATTTATCACTCCAACAACAAGAGCCCAGAATTTGAGAAGCTCATCATCCATCACGATGATGATACCTTGGTCTTCTTCACTTTAGCCGGTGACTATTACTGTCACTTTTGTCGAACCATCTCCCACACCTATGCTAATTGTAAAGAAAAAGCACAGGCAAAAAGAATTCAGGCCTCAGAGGACCGCCTTAACGCTGACCTCTCAGCCAGCGCGGACCCAAATTCCAAACGCTCATTTTCTTCAACCTCTGAGGACCACGACATGGACTCGACAGAATTCGGCTCCAAGAAACCTTGCAGGATACCCGATCATATCAGATCTCAATTTTCTGATTGCATCGAAATCTCATATGAACGATTTATGCAACTTGCCAATAAACCAACGGAATTTTCATCCTTTCTAGATGAGGATATCATCGAAGGACACATCGACGCAACTGGAATGCCCTTTTTCATGATTAATGACAAAAAGACTTATTACAAGGACCTAGATTGCACGATCCCTCCACCGATCATGTTCGAGAAATTCGAAGGTTATGACAAGCTCATAGCCCCACCCACACAGAGAAAGGATAAGTAATGACTCAATTATGTACTAGCCAAGTAAATACCCTCAAGGTAGTACAAGCCAACGTCGATGGCCTGTCCCTCAGAAAGATTACAAAAATCCATAACACACGTCCTGATATAACGTGAGCCCGACAAACCCCGAATTGCATATGCCATTTGGTACTCCGAACGAGGCCTCAGACAACTGGGTCTCGACGGCCATGACGTCGACATTTTTGAGGCGTTCAAGGCATACATCGACTTTACTGCAAATCAAAAAA